ACATTAAAAATGAATAAACAAGACTCTCAGCAAAAGAAATTACTTTATATTAGGCATATTTTATATAATTTTCTTATGTACACTATTTTCTTATAAGACGTTAAATAAATCAATCACTTCTTCAACTATATATGGCTATCGACACTATTTACAAGAAGCAGGGAAACTTAAGATAAGTAAGAAAAGAAACGCAAACCTTTGCATGTTGCGTAGACAGGAATGAATTTGTGTTGAATGGTACTGCAAATTGTTGATATTTGAAAATAAAATAAATTATGAAAATAATATTTTTATATGTCCTTTCAGGGCTCCATGGATTATAAATTATCTGTATCTTTAAATATCAGGCAAATGGTAGTTCCAACATTTCACCATTGGCTTTAATCATTAAAGAGTGTCTCTTGGTGTTCTGGCGTGAGCAACATGTTAAATAGCATTACCGCTGTCGACCAATTCCTGAATGGGGCAGGCCAGCTTGGGCTCTTCTGAAGATATGCTGTCTACTATTGAAGACAGACATTGCAAGCTGCTGGAGGCTGATTCATGGACAGATCCTTCTGCAAAAGTCAGAAATTCAAATGAAACACTTAATTCCAAAGCATTTTTATGCATTACTGAACGGAAACCCCTTTTCTTGTTGGCATCAAATTAAAGCCTATTTTCTGTGTAATAGAACACAGTGGTATGGACAATAAAATAAGATATAGATTTTATAATCTGATTCTCTACAATGTAAACCTTTATTCCAACTGCAGAAAAAGTTTCACTACTGTTGTGTTTTTCCATTGACACAGAGACAAGCATTGCTTATTGTAACAACTCCAATTTCTTAGAGCCATTTAATGCTATGCACTAAAAATCAGGACAGCTGTGCAATGTTACAGTATGGCCTTTTCACGCAGACTTACCTTCTTTGATATTTAGCTCTGACAAAGGGGAATGCTCAGAAATATTGTGCCAGTCTGAAGAACAGCTACCTAAGAAATCTTCTCTCTGGAGCGGAAATAATAAAAAAATAAGAGATTTTACTGTGTTTAAAGCAATGTGGATTTCATAGCACATACTTTAGTGTTCTACAACTCAACCAATATAAACAGAAGTAGATATCAGTTCTGTACTTTTGACTAGTGATGTCGTGAACCGTTCGCGAACTTGCCGCGAACGGTTTGCCGCGGTTCGCCACGAACTGTTCGCGGCAAACTCGGGTCAGCTGACACATCCCTGCCAATCTCCGGCAGACCCTCCCTCCCAGACCCTCCTACTTCCTGGACAGCATCCATGTTGAAGGCAGCTTCAACATGGAAGCTGTCAAGGAGGTGGAAGGGTCTGGGAGGGAGGGTCTGCCGGAGATTGGCAGGGATGTGTCAGCTGACCCGAGTTTGCCGCGAACGGTTCGTGGCGAACCACGGCGAACCGTTCGCGGCAAGTTCGCGAACGGTTCGCGACATCACTACTTTTGACTTGAGATTTCACTATTTTTTTTTTTTAAATTAAACTGGGAAAAGTTGGAAATTGAACAGGATATTTAAAACTGTAGGCCAAAATCGGCGATATAGAAAAATTAAAAACTCAGCAATTTTTCTAGCTCAGCTATTTCAGTCTACAACATGATGTTTTCTGATCAATTCAGGACAAATTCTGGTTGCCCCACATATATAAATGTATATTTGTTCATAAAACCATTTTTATATTTGGTTTTAGTATCTACTTTCTAGAAATATAATTATTTACGCATTTATATGCTGATTCTTACATTAATAATCTGATTCTAAAAAATGATAGTTTTCTATATACATTTTATACAGAGTATATATTCAGAATACTATGCTAGTTCCATGAAGAATGTGTATAACATAACTATGAAATGCTGATCTGTTTTATAAAGTATTTATTATCTGCTCATTACTAATGTACAACATAGAGTGCCTCACACATATTTATCTCGATGAAGAAAATCTTGAAGAAAAAGGTGAAAAAGGCGTTTACGGTAGAATAGTTTGTTAAATAAGAAGGATCCGTATGTTATTTTCAGTTGTAGAAAGGCTCAATTTCCCCTTTACAAGTAAAATAAATAGGGACTTGCTTGGCAAAAAAAAGTCTATCATTATGCTATGCCCTTGATTACTGATCTTGTACTGGGTTGAGTTAAGAGTTATGCTCAAAACAGCTCAGCCCTAAAGGAATTTAATTAGCACAGTGGTATAACTCTTATTTAAAGAATATGAACACTATAAAATGATAATAAGTTTAGCATTTTATGTCACTGGCTTCTACTTTGGGAAGTGTTTCAGAGACAGCTGGGATGAGATTAAAACTAATGGAAGGAAAATTAGATTATGCACATCTTATAAAGTGTGTTCTAATAGCTAATAAAATGTCTGATTTGGAAGATATAAACTGAGAGAAGGCTCTTGGGAGTCCGCAGCATAGGGCAAGATGGGGCAACTGTTCCCTTTAGAAACAGTTTTTTTTTGTTAAGATGTGCTTAAAAGTGACTGTGCCCATATAGATTGGGGCTTGGCCTCCAGTGAATATTTTCTGTGAATAACCTTGAAAATAATAAAATGGATGTTTTCATTTCCACTTTTTTTGGTTTAGTATTAAACATACGTTGTATGTTATTTCTGAAAAAATATGTGCAAAATGGTACGAAAATAATGTTTAGGATATGCTTTTTTTTTTTTTTTACCCAGCATGCTTTTTAAGTAAATCCAACCACACCAATAAATAATTAAATAAATAAAATGAGTAAGCCTACTGCAGTGCTGGCACCAATTACCCATATCTGCTTACAGCTGTTTCCTTGGAGTTGTATGTAAATGGATCATCGTCTGATTTCTGGGGCTTGTCTTGCTGATCCAGGCTGTGAAGTAGATCCTGCAGTCTCTCGATATAATTAATTGCACTGCGTAAGATTTCAACCTTAGGGAGTCTCTGGTTTGGGTTTGCAACAGTCCTTCTTTTAAGGGCCTCAAAGGCTTCATTTATTTTCTTTAACCTTCTCCTTTCCCTGAGGGTGGCTGCTTTTCTTCTGTCCGTTGGGGCTGATTTCCTCTTGCATGTTTTACAGGCCCAAATCAAACACTGTCCAGGGCAATGGGGCTGTAAACCAGGTGGTGCCAAAACATGTTCTTCCCCACTGCTGTCACTCCCGGCATCTCCAGCCAGATGATCTTGACATGGGGACAACGTACCCTCACTACCTGGATACAAGGGGGATCCATCTGTCATTTCCAGTTGTTGAAAGGCTCCATTCTCCCCCTCCAAATAAAAGAAATAGGAATTTGTTTCAAAAAGGTCCATCATTATGCTCTGCCCTTGATTACTGTTCTTGTACTTGCTTGAGTTAAGTGATGTGCTCAAAACAGCTCAGCCCTAAAGGAATTTAATTAGCAGAGTGACATAAGTCTCAGTCTTTATATAGCTACTGAAACCCTATCCAACTTTTATCTGTCGCAATGCATCACCCTCCAAATCTGATTTCAACAAGTCTCTTGAGTACAGCCCTCCGAGTTCCAACTTCTGTGGAAGTGAGATCCTTTTGCAAGCTAACCAGGAATCTGAAATGGCTATATAGGAGGACTGGCTGAAAAATGGGTTTATAGTTTAAACTCCTTCTATGGATGGAGTTTTTGTCCCTACAAGGGCAGTGAAGATTGAGAATAGTCAAAAGCAAGATAAATGTTATTATTGTTGGCATTTATATAGGGTCAGCTTATTCTGCAGCACTTTACAATATTATAAAAGACGGACATTTAACAATAAATGAGACAATAACAGTGTTTGAAGAGCAATAGGTTGATGAGGACGTGGCTAAATGAGCATAAATGTTACTGTATAACATCAATAAAACATGATCAACTGAGATAAAGAGTTGTGTCAGACTCAATTATCATTTAAAATGTGAAATATTCACATCTTTCAACACTTTTTTTATATGTAATTTACTAAGAATACACATTTTTAATAGCAGATCTAGAATATTAATATGAATTTTGTCTCTTTTCCACGTAGCAATATACTCTTTAAGTGTGAAAATATGCTAGCAAATAAAAATGTCATTGGATGTTCTTGTTCCCAGTCTGTTTACATTTTAGTTGTTTACAAAAAGCCTATTTTAGTAGATCTGATGTAATTATAATTATCACTCATCAAGGTCAGTTAGGCAGGTTGCAAAATAGCTAGCATTGCCCAACAAGTTCAGAAGATTTCTGCATAAATGAACTTAAATTGTCAACATTTTTAATAATGCACGACGGTAACACTGATTTGTTTTGTAGAACTAATATAGGTGAATGCAATCATAATACTATGTAGAACAGATTTAACTGGAAAGGTTTGAAACATGCAATCAGCATATTGCTTGGCTACTGAAGTGTGTAATGTGTTAGACTTGTGAGTTATGCAATGTTTAGCAATGAACTCAGCTGCTCATGTCACTCACTTCCACAGCTCTCCATTGTGATTTTGTCTCTGAATTAACAGGAGTAGAATTTGACAGAATTAAACTAAGGTATCATGAAGATTAATAAAATATTATTAGTTAGCAAGATATTTTTTTTAGAAATTCGTGTTAATACTTTTGTTATGAAGGTTGAAGATTTGAGTGCAGGCCTTATTGTCTTAATATGTATCCTAAATCGTACCAACAAAATCAGTAATCAATCGTATATAATCTGTGTGTCTGGCAGACTCCAACAGCAGGTGGAGCTGCAGGAAGTGTACATTGTTATAAAATGAACAGTTTACCCCAGCTTTCTTCACTTCTCTATGACTAACTGATTATCTACCTACGGCTGTCTGGTTCTAACTGACACAATGTAACAATATGTTGCCTTCTGTTACTTTCCTTCTAATTCATAATGTTTCTTATACCACTGAATTTCCATTTCCTGCATTCAGTTGAATCCTGCAAAATGTATAATGCTACCCAATCTGTGCCCTATCTACTCTCTTTGTTTACATGATTGATTATTCTTGGGTATCTTACATTAGTGCAAATCATTTTATTTAAATAAGTGCATTCTAAATTGGTGATTACAAAGTAGTCACATATATGAAAAATAAAGGGATTCTGCTGACATTCAAGTTATCACTTTTGTTTACAACTTGGATCCAACAGGTAGAATCTAGCTTCTACTTCTGTGAGAGACATAGGCCTCTATTTTGTCTCCAGAACAGGAAAAAGTTTTTGTGGCACGGATTTGACAAAATACCAAAATTCTGTAAGAATGTGCCATTCTGTGGGACCTGGCAAATACATACCAACATGGCAATTAACCTAATATAAGGTGTGGTGTGGCACTTCAGGGCAACAAATAGGCAGTCTGTGTCTAGCCCGGTGCACTGTGGTAGAGGTCAGCTAACTCCACAGGTTCAACAGGATAGGTATATATTTATATATATATGTGGGTTCGTCACTATTGCTACTGGGTTTGTTGGTCGTCAACGCTGTTAGAACCAAAGTGAAGTATATGGAAGAAGGACCCTGCCAAATATGAAAGGTATACATACTGAAGGCACCATTTTTTTTAAAAAATGTATACTTAATTTAAAAAAACATCTATTTCCTTTCAAAACTAATGAAAGGATTATTACATAAAAAATTCATATGACGATTGTGCTTTAAGCTTGGCACTTAGTGAGCTGTTGCAATGAGATTTCACTCAATTTTCTGATGTGTTGGCACTGGCTTTTATCTACCTGTGGATAGATTTTAGTGTAAGGTTCAGGTTATAGCTGCAAGTTTACAAATGAGTGGATGTTAAATTAGTACTTAGCCCTTTATTCAGATGGAAGAGAAAGTTGTCTTCAAGCATGGGGAGGTCTCAATAACGGAACATAAGTTGCAAACAGACCTTCTTGAGCTTACTTCTTTACAGAGAAGGGAAAATACCCAATAATTATTAACACACTATCCCATCCCCTATCAAACTACCCCTGCTTCTACCAAATTATGCCATCTTTACCAAACTACACCAGTCTCTTGCTAAATTTGCAAAAGTACTATCAATGTTACTCTACTTTGCAGGAAAAGATTTATGAGCTTCAAGACTTAACATCACGGTGATAAACTGAGATCTGCCATAATGGCTACTGAAAATACTACAGACTAGTTTATTACATGTTTATACATTTTCAAGAGACATTTTCTTGTGCATCCAAATATAATATCTTCAATTCATGATGATGGAATACAGACTTAGTACAGCATTTATCTTTCCACATTGTTTGTGTTTATGATGTGTATACTATGCTACATGCCACTGACTCTATTGATGAATGATCACCACTGCACAAACACAGTTGCTATTTTAGCAATTTTTAAGAGTCTTGCAAGCTGTTCATGGATGGATACCCTTGTTAGAAACCTT